AGCAACATGGATGGACCTAGAGACTGTCATACTGAGAGAAGTAAGTCAGACAGAGAAAGAGAAATATCACGATATCCCTTATATGCGGAATCTAAAAAGAAATAATACAAAGGAACTCATTTACAAAACAGAAACAGCCTCATAAACTTAGAGAACGAATTTATGGTTACCAGAGGGGAAGGGTGGGGGGAAGGGATAGTCAGGGAGTTTGGGATCAACATGTACACACTACTATATTTAAGATGGATAACCAACAAGGACCTAATGTATAGCACACAGAACTCTGCTAAATGTTATGTGTCAACCTGGATGGGAGGGGAGTTTGGGGGAGAATGGACGCATGTATATGTATGGCTGAGTTGCTTCGCTGTGCACCTGAAATTATCACAACAGTGTTAAGTGGCTATACCCCAATATAAAATTAAAAGTTAAAAAAATAAAATAAAGTGAACGCATCTTGTAGGAATTGCAATCAGCCCTGAGAGAGACACGGCCTGAGGGGGTGGGGGGAAAGCAGCACGTTATACACACTGCTGATAAGTGATAAGTAGGGTTAAAGAAGAAATTCATTAGCTTTAAAAACTAGTTACTAGGGAATTCCCTGGTGGTCCAGGGGTTAGGACTAGGCACTTTCACCGCCGAGGGCCTGGGTTCAATCCCTGGTCGGAGAACTAAGATCCTGTAAGCCAAAGGATCTTTTTTTAAAATAAATAATTAATTAGTTAATTAAATTTATTTTTGGCTGCATTGGGTCTTCGTTCCTGCGTGCAGGCTTTCTCTAGTTGCGGTGAGCGGGGGCTACTCTTTGTTGCGGTGCACGGGCTTCTCACTGCGGTGGCTTCTCTTGTTGTGGAGCCCGGGCTCTAGGTGCACGGGCTTCAGTAGTTGTGGCACATGGGCTCAGGAGCTGTGTCTCACAGGCTGTAGAGAGCAGGCTCAGTAGTTGTGGCGCACGGGCTTAGTTGCTCTGCGGCATGTGGGATCTTCCCAGGCCAGGGCTTGAAACCGTGTCCTCTGCCTTGGCAGGTGGATTCTTAACCACTGCGCCAGCAGGGAAGCCTGGAAGGTCAGTTCTAATGTCTTTGAAAATGTGACATTTTATTGGAAGTGCATTTTATGTTTTTGTTTTTTTGGCCAAGCCATGCAGCATGTGGGATCTTAGTTTCCCGACTAGGGATGGAACCCGTGCCCCCTGTAGTGGAAGCACAAAGTCTTAACCACTGGACCACCAGGGAAGTCCCTGGAAGTGCATTTAAAATTTTCTGTCTTGATATTTGGAGACTCCAGTGGACTAGCTACTGTTGCCAAGGCAGTATGACTTTGGGCTATTGCAGGGATCCAAAGGGGTTTTTGTTGGTTTTTAAAAAAATTATTAACATGAGAAAAATGGAAAAAGTAAATATAGAAGCCAAATTCAGCCTCTTTCCTCTTCAAAATGCATAAAATACAGATCCTCTGGTTATATCTCTGATTAAAAAATACAGAGACTCATGAAGTGACTTTCTCAACTGGCAGAGAGACTTTCTCCCAGTCGGTAGAGCTGGTACCATCAGAGTCCTCTTCTCATTCTTTGTTCTGAATTGAGGCCCCTCTGAAAATGTGGGACACTGATTCTACACAATATTAACTCCTCACCTCCCAACATGTTTACCTCCAAATGGAAAAATCCTTTATGTGAATAAAGGTGGCCATCGAGGTCCAGAGTGTTCTCTTTGAGGGAACTTGTGAAGAGAAGACAGAAACGCATGGTGCAAACCATACAAATACATTCAGTTGGGTTCCAAAAGATTCAAATGCAGATGAGAATAAAGATCCCACCACCAACACATTTTTTTTCTCTGTGATTATTCCCTCTAGTCAGTATAATGTAAAAGCGTTTGGTCACGAAGGTGGGCTCAAATCATCTGAAGATGGGAAGAATCAAAGGCTCTATTTCCTGGAATACTACATAAAACTTCTGTAGAAACAGATAACATCTTTGCTTCCTACTAAGTGGAATGTGGTATTTTAAAATCAGAAGTCCAGCTGCAGATCAAGAAACCCTGTAGTACAAGGCACTTAAAAAAAATTATTTATTTATTCTTGGCTCTTTTGGGTTTTCGTTTCTGTGCGTGGGCTTTCTCTACTTGCGGCGAGCGGGGGGCTATTCTTCATCGCGGTGCGCGGGCTTCTAATTGTCGTGGCTTCTCTTGTTGCAGAGCACAGGCTCTAGACGCGCAGGCTCAGTAGTTGTGCCTCAAGGGCTTAGCTGCTCTGCGGCCTGTGGGATCTTCCCAGACCAGGGCTCGAACCCGTGTCCCCTGTATTGACAGGCAGATTCTTAACCACTGCACCACCAGGGAAGCCCAGTACAAGGCACTTTTTAATCAAAACCTCCAAAACCAGGGTCTCCTTAAGACAAACCAAGGGTTCAAACAAAATCCTACGTTGTTACCAGAGACTGGGAGATAAACAGGAAGTCTCTGAAGTGCAATGAAAATACAACTCACAAACCTCAGAGTAACGATTTTTAAAGAACTGTTTGGAAGCTCTAGGAAAGTGCCTGTCTCATGCTGGGAAGCTCGCTGGACCCCAATGGCTCCTGCTCCCAATAAATGATGCTGGGAGTGTGTCTGGAAGAATAAACATGAGACTGAGCATTCATAGGAACGGTATAGGTTTGATGTCCATGTGCGTGTTCACACGGGAATACGTGAGCAGATCTTTAGTTCCATTCTAGGCAAGCTCCTCTCATCCGACCATTCAAAACTGCCCAGCCACTCCTACCATGGACAGATACTTCCTTTCACTGAATGCTCAGGGGAAATCACCTGGTTTGGATGCGGTTTGAGTTTGATCCTGTGACACCATCAGCATTTCCCACCAGAGATAAATGAGGAGATTCTGGCCTTTATTAGTATGCTATGAACACAGGTGTCCTGGCTATACTTGCCAACCTCCTTCTATTTTTATTCACCTACCTACCTGTGAGTGCCTTTGACCTACTCTGAGCTCAGACCCTTGATCTATTAGAGTAACTCTGTCAGTCTTTCTTTGAAAATGAACAGGCAGGGCTTCCCTGGTGGCGCAGTGGTTGAGAATCTGCCTGCTAATGCAGGGGACATAGGTTCGAGCCCTGGTCTGGGAGGATCCCACATGCCGCGGAGCAACTAAGCCCATGCGCCACAACTACTGAGCCTGCGCGTCTGGAGCCTGTGCTCCACAACAAGAGAGGCCGCGATAGTGAGAGGCCCGCGCACCGCGATGAAGAGTGGCCCCCACTTGCCACAACTAGAGAAGGCCCACGCACAGAAACGAAGACGCAACACAGCAAAAACAAACAAATTAATTAATAAACTCCTACCCCCAACATCTAAAAAAAAAAAAAAAAATGAACAGGCAATAAAATGAATTTAACCCAGAAGCAGCAGCTCAGCAAGGGAAATGAAAACATCAGAAGCACCTTTTCGGCCGAGGCCAGAGCTTCAGGGATCCCTCCAGTCCCCTCCCCCGCCCCCTCCTCCCTGGTACTTTATCTAATAGAGGAAGGAGCACGGAGGGACTTGGCTGAATCAAGGGACCTGCGAGACTATGGATGAGTTTTAAGCCCGAGACGCAATTAAATATTATTGGAACCTACTGTAAGGGGGGCGGGGAGGGGAGGTTAGGAGGCTGAGAGGCTGAGTCCCAACGCAGCGGGTCCAGCCCCGGGACCCAGCGCAGACGAACCCCCACCCCCCACCCCGCCCCCTCGATTCCCAGCAGCCAGGAGGAGGAGCCCTGCGACTCCAGCCCGGACTCTGAGCCTCCCCCTCCCCGAGTCCCCTCAGGACGCGCAAGTCGGGCCCCTTGCTCACCCCAGCCGGCCCGAGCAAGCCGGGCGGTGGGCAGGGGCGAGATGAGGGGCCGAAGTTCCCCTGGACGAAGATGCTGCGCGCAGCTCTTCCTAAAGAGCAGGGGAGGCTCGAAGCGAACCCCTGTGCCTCAAAAGTTGGTCTCGCCGGGAGGGGAGGCCCGGGGACGCGGCGCCGGGGCCGGGCCCAACTTACCTGGCGCGCGGCCCGGAGGGCGGACGGAGATTAGCTGGCGGGGTCAGTCCAGCCCGCGGCGGCAGTTCGGCCATGGGCGCGGCCGGGCTTCGTGTCGCCCTCCCATCGGGCGCTGGGCACTCTGCCAGGGTGGAGGGAAGAGACGCCGAGCCGGGAATTCAAGCTCCGCGAGACCCGGGCTCCATTCTGGACGGCGGGGGCGGGGCCGCTTGGCCCTCTGTCACGTGCCCGGCCCTATTTCAGGCGCCCTAGCTTTAGGGCAGGTTCCCAGCCTTCAAATCATGTAAACCGGCTCTTCGTCTCTGAAAGGGCTCCAGGTCACTGTTTGCCCCTCCAGCCTGCAACCTTAAAAGTTGTGACTTCCCCGTTGACCCCAGCGCCTAACATAGCTCTGGCAGAAAGGCTGAGATCAGTGATTGTTCAACACTTGGATAAGTGAGACCCTTCTCTTGGGGGAGGGGTGTGGGGACAGGAGGAAGAGGCTCAGATGGAAAGGGAAGAAGGAAGTTTGGGGAGAACTCAAGAGAAAGGGCAGGGATGAACACAGCCCGCCCACCCAAATACTGCCGCTTTTACACGCTCCACTGTTCTCGACCACCAGCCCCGTTTTCCAGATGCCAACACCCACGCAGGCCTGCGGCTTGCAAACTGCAAGCCCAAGAGTCAAGCCAGGTAGTTCTGCCTCTGGAGAAACAAAGGGCAGTCAGACTGCAGACAGCCTGTGAGGCTGTGTGGCCACTGGGCCACCCGACCAGGCTGGAAGTGCCTCGTCGGATGCTGAAGGCTGAACTCTGTCTCATCTGTGAGGTGAGGCGATTTGAGCCAGAGAGTCAGGCACCCCGTAGCCAAGCCCTCCTCTCTGGGCACCTCCTTGGGGTTCCGTCAACCCCATCCAGCCCATGCTCTCCAGCAACAAGGACGAGCTGCACTGGCTGCGCTTGGCTGCAGCACACCAGGGAGCAGGACTTTGAGATGAACAGCCGAGCCCTTTGCATCCTCACCAAGGACGACTTCCCACTCCGCTCCCTGGGTTCAGGTCAGGGTCACACACTGGCTTCTCTGATGCAAACCCGGGGGAGCAGGGGTGGGCGTGGGGAGCTGTCTTGCTCCCTCCCTCTCCCTTCCCCATTTCCATCCTAAGGCCTCTGTGTAGCATCTCCATCAGCACGAATCTTGTGACGGACATGCCAGCTGACACCTGGTCAGCAGCCTGCCCTCCCCCGCCCCCCCCCCCCCCCCCCCCCCCCCCCGCTTCAGCTGACGTTCTGTATGAGTTGCTCCAGTACATCAAGACCCAGCGGCAAGCTGTGGCATGTGGGCCCTTTTTCGGAAGAGCTTTCAGGCAGAGGGTGCCCACTCAGCCCTTCCCCTGCTGCCTGGAAGGTGAGGAGGCTCTCTGAGACACTCCCCCAGATTGGCCTCATCAGAGGGCAGAGCTTCTTCCAGGCAAAATGATGAAAGAGGCAGCATTGTGGGCCAAGCTCCCCATCTCCCCCTGCTCTGCCTCCCCAACTCTCACCCCTGCCCTCTGTGACTGTCCTCTAGCCGAGGGGCCTTGCCTCTCATCTCCCCCTTTCTCTGCTCTCCTCTCCAGCAGAGGGTTGTTTATGTGGCATCCCTCTCTTCTCCTCCTGATCTCTCCATGGAAATTGCTCTCCTCAGGGTCTCCGAGGACCTGCACACAGGGCTGTTCATGTCACTCCCAGTCCTTACTCACTGCTGCAACCTTCCATTTGCTCGGGCCAAAACGCTGGATGTCATTTTTTATTACTTTCTTTCTCTCTCATCCTCATCCCAACTGTCAACAACTCCTGCTGGCTCTACCTTCAAGATCTACCCAGAATCCAACCACTTCACACACCTGTAGTGCTGCCCAGGGTCCAGCCCCTGCCTCCTCTGGAGAACCTCCTCACTGGTCTCCTTGCTTCTGCCCTTGATCTCCTATGATCTATTCTCAACAGAGTAGCCAGAGATTCGTAAGTCAGGTCATGTTACTTCTTTGCTCAAAATCTTCCAGTGGCTCTCATCTCACTCGTCAAAGCCCCAGTCCATACAACGACCTCCCTGCCCTCTGCTGTCCTCTCCCACTCCTCTCCCTCTTGCTCATGCTTCTCCAGCCACACCAGCCTCCCTGCTCATTGAACAAGCCAGAGACACCCCTGCCTCAGGGCCTTTGCACTTACTGTTCCCTCTGCCTTGCAATCTCTTCTCTACATGCCCACATAGCTCACTCATCTACCTCCTTAGGTGTCTGTTCAAATGTTATCATGTCTGTGAGGCATTTCCCAGAATTCCCTATTTGCCTTGTACGGTAGTGCTTTATCCCTTCCCCCCATATTGTATACTACTTCTATTTCCTTTTTTATTTCAATCATCTGTCTTCCTCCCCCTCCCTACCCCACTAGAATATAAAGCTCCATGAGGGCAGAAGCTCTTTTCAGTTTAGTGATGTGTCCCCAACATTCTTAGAACAATGCCTGTCTCATTGAAGGTTCTCCATCAATAGTTATTGGGTGGATGAAGAGGGCACCTGGGTTCTGGACCTGGCTCTGTCACCTCTTGGCATTGTGAACAATTTTACAGATGAGGGAGCAGGTTTGAGAAACTAAGTTACTTGTCTGGGAGCTAGGGTTAGCACCTGGGCTGTCTGGCCCTCACCCACACCCTCCAGTGCTTCCCTGACCTTCTAACCAGGGGCTGGGTGTGGGGAGAGCACTAGGAGTGCAGCCCCACGGGCTCCTGCGCCTGTCACTGAGGGGGTCTGGGTGGGGGGAGGCTCTGGGCCCAAAGAATCGATGGTGCTCCTCTGCTTGCAGAGGGGATCGGGGCCTCCTGCAGCAGCCACCAGCCCTGGGGCTTGCCAGCTCCTTGAGCCATGTGGATGCCCCTGGCCTGGCCAGCTGGCCCCTCAGCAGGCAGGAGTCACTCAGTTTATCTCACTGTGTGGAGCTCGGCTGCAGGGCTGAGGGAGTCTCCTCCTTCCCCACGATGCCACAGGCCCCCATTGACGGCAGGATCACTGGTGAGTAGGAGGCTGTGCTCCCCTGGCACACAGGAGGGAGGTGTGCTGAGGCTGAGTCCCAGAGGTGGGGGGGTGACAAGGAGGGTTATTTTGATCTGGGGAATGAGAGGGTCTGTGCTTGGCAGTGGTGTGTGGAGTGACTCTCCTGTGTGCTGGTCATAGTCTGGTCACAGCGGGCAGAAAGTGCTGCCCGGGATCGCCAAGCCCACCCTATGTCCAGGCCAGGGACGATTTACCAGTCATAGTTCAGACAGTCAGACTGGCCTAGAGTATGCCCCCTCCCCCTTTAAAACTTTATTTTTATAATTAATTTTTAAAAATTAATTTATTTTGGGCTGCTTTGGGTCTTTGTTGCTGCGTGCGGGCTTTCTCTAGTTGTGGCGAGAGGGAGCTAATCTTTGTTGCAGTGTGTGGGCTTCTCATTGCGGTGGCTTCTCTTGTTGTGGAACACGGGCTCTAGGCATGTGAGCTTCAGTAGTTGTGGCTCGCGGGCTCAGTTGCTCTGCGGCATGTGGGATCTTCCCGGACCAGGGATCGAACCAGTGTCCCCTGCGTTGGCAGGAGGATTCTTAACCACTGCATCACCAGGGAAGCCCAAAAACTTTATTTATTTTTAAATAGTTGAGTGTTTACTATGTGCCAGGCATGGTTCTAAGGCTTTTATTTAACCTCCCAACAGCGCTCTGAGGTTGGTATTATTATTAGTCCCATTTTACAGATAAGGAAAATGAGGCACAGAGAGGTTAAGTGACCTTCCCATGGTCACACAGCAGGAAGTAGCAGAATTGAAGTGTGAATCCAGGCAGTCTGACTCTAGGGCCTGAGCTCTAATCAGGTGATATACTTCTCCATATTCATTGTTAAAGGACTGACTAACAGACAGGTAACCAGATGGACTGACAGATAAGCTGACTGCCTTCCCAAAGTGTGTTTTCTAGTCATGGCGGAGCCACTACATTTATCCTAAGACACCACAGAGAGGGCAGAAACTTAGCTCCTGGGTTGAAAGTGACTGGGAGTCACTGAAACACAGTTATTTAATTTTAATATAATGCTTAACATTCTTTGAGCACTTACTCTGTACCAGGCACTGTGCTAAGGGTCTTTTGGTCGATTATGTTACTTAATCCTCACATCACCCAACATGAGGAAACTATGGCTCAGAAGAAGTCCGGTAACCTGCCCCCCACGCCCGAGCCAGGTGGCCCAGGTGGGACTTATGAGCTTGCGCCCGGGCTCCCTCTGCCACTTGCCCTTCATGATAGCACATTCGATTTTCCAGAACCTCCTGCTAGGGTGCTGGCTGGATAGGATGGATGTTACAATCCTGATTTAACAGAGATCCGGGAGGTTGAGTGACTGGGCCAGGGGCAGAGAGGGACCTGGAGACAGGGTTCCAGCTGCCCGCCACTGGCCAGTGCCCCTGCCACCTGCCCCCAGGCGAAGGGTGTTGGCTTTGGTGTCTGAAGAGCTGGGTTAGGCTCCCCATTCCGCCTGCTCCTTAGAAGCCTGGTGACTGGGATATGTCCATACCTCTCTGAGCCCATTTCCTCATCCCTTCCTGGGGGTAAAGGTCTCCACCTGTTAGAGTCAGGATGATTGAATGAGATGAGTAATGAGGCCCCACGTGGCTGTTTCTGTTAGTGCCGTCGTCTTCACCATCCCGCTGCACGCCTGGGCCCCGGCTTCGAGAGCCCCAGAGCACCTTTCTCATGCTCGTCCTCACAGCTCCATGAAGGCGCCCCGTCTGCACCCTCTGTGCGCAACTGCAGACTGCCAGCTGCTGTGGGATTACAAGTATCAGCTGCTCTCTGGCACCTGGTACGAGCCCTACATCAAGTGGGAAGACAATAATGCCAAGATCTTCTGAGTTGTGGATCCAAATGGGCTTGCCAGATTCTGGGGAAACCACAAGGTGAACCTCAGCCAGCGGGCAGGATGGTCTCAACACACATGATAGGGCAGGGGCCACAGTGGACCCCTCAGAACTAGGGGACAGGCCTCAACGGATGGGAGCTTCACCAGCAGCCCCAGAAGTGTTGGGATCATTTTTTTCTTAAATTTTTTTTGAATTTTATTTATTTAGTTTTTATACAGCAGGTTCTTATTAGTTATCTATTTTATACATATTAGTGTACATATGTCAATCCCAATCTCCCAATTCATCCCCCCACTCCCCACCCTCACTTTCCCCCCTTGGTGTCCATACGTTTGTTCTCTACATCTGTGTCTCAGAAGCCTTGCAAACTGGTTCATCTGTACCATTTTTCTAGGTTCCACATACATGCGTTAATATACGATATTTGTTTTTCCCTTTCTGACTTACTTCACTCTGTATGACAGTCTCTAGGTTCATCCACGTCTCTATAAATAACCCAATTTCGTTCCTTTTTACAGCTGAGTAATATTCCATCGTATATATGTACCACATCTTCTTTACCCATTCGTCTGTCGACGGGCATTTAGGTTGCTTCCATGACCTGGCTATTGTAAATAGTGCTGCAGTGAACATTGGGGTGCATGTGCCTTTCTGAATTATGGTTTTCTCTGGGTATATGCCCAGTAGTGGGATTGCTGGGTCATATGGTAATTCTATTTTTAGTTTTTTAAGGAACCTCCATATATTCTCCATAGTGGCTGTTGTTGGGATCATTTTATTTTGGGAGATTCCGAGGGACAGGCAGTTACTTCTTGAGTATGGGGACTGTCCCTGGAACTCAGGAATCTTGCCTTCTAATTGCTTAATTCCACCTTTCCTTAGCATTTGAGGCTTTCAAAGCACGCTTGCATGAATCGTGCATCGTTTGCTGTTAAGCCAGATGAGGAAGCTGGTACCCTGGAGGAAGCTGGGACAGAAACCCAGGTCTCAGGCCCTGCAGAACATCAGCTGTCAGGGCTGGAAAGGCCTGGGGATGACCGAGGCCAGCATTCCTAACGTGAGGAGCGCCCATACCTAAATGGGTGTCTGCCAGGGGATTTTAGGTGGTTTACTCCAAATTCTAATAATTATTTATTTTAGTAAGCATTAGGATTGCAAAATTTAACTACTTTGTCAATCTCATGATTGACAGTGATGATATAAAACCAGTGTGCTAGTCTATAAATAAATTCATTTAGGTTAAAAAGAGTCTTTAAAGAAAACTTAACAATAATGATCAGGCTTCCCTGGTGGCGCAGTGGTTGAGAATCTGCCTGCCAATGCAGGGGACATGGGTTCGAGCCCTGGTCCGGAAAGATCCCACCTGCTGTGGAGCAACTAAGCCCATGCGCCACAACTACTGAGCCTGGGCTCTAGAGCCTGCAAGCCACAACTACTAAGTCCGCATGCTGCAACTACTGAAGCCCTTGTGCCTAGAGCCCGTGCTCTGCAACAAGAGAAGCCACCACAATGAGAAGCCCCGCGCACCACAGCGAAGAGTAGCCCCCGCTCGCCGCCATTAGAGAAAGCCCATGCACAGCAACAAAGACCCAACACGGCCAAAAATAAATAAATAAATGAAATAAAACAAACAAACAAAAGACCAATAACGATCATCTGCAATATATAGCATCTCCTAAAATATGGCACAGCATGTGATTGCCAAGCATTGCTCAGAGGGCTCTGCCTGTATTAACTCACTTAATCCTCACCACAACCTCATGGGGTGGATATTATCAGATGGGGAAACTGAGCCACAGAGAGGTGTGTCAACTTGTCCCAGTGTTTGCAGCCAGTAGGTGGCAGAGCAGAGACCTGAATCCAGACCATGTAGCTCTGGGCACCACCCTGTTTTGTGGCCTCTGGGTAGTGCTGGTGGCTGGAAGGATGCAAATGACTAAAGTTTGGGTGTGCTTATCTGGAGGGAGGGCAACTGAGGCCCCAAGAGCAGCAATTCCATTTAGTGAGCACAGACCACATGTTAAGCACTGTGCTAAGTGCTCTCATGGATTAACTAATTTAATGCTCACAACAAATCTGTGAGATTGATGTTTTTATCTTCATTTTATAGCCGGGGCAACAGATGCAGAGAGGTAAAGAAACTTATCCAAGGTCACACAGCTGCCAAATGGTGGAGCTGGAGCTTAAATTGACACCAAAGCCCAGCCTCTTTGTCCCTACTCTGCACAGTCCACTCCCCAGAGAGAGGAAAAACTGACTTGGTCAAAGTCACACAGCTAGGTGGCAAGGCCCTCATGCTACCCCACCATGCTGTCTCTCCTACTAACTATATATTTGTTACTACTTGTGACATTTGCCATTTAAAAGCAACATGCAATTCACTCCTGGCCCATGGGTCTCAGTCAAGTAGGTGACAGAACCATCCCATTGTTTCTTTCCACACCCCCTACCCCGGCCTTCCCCTGCCTTTCTCCTTCCCAATGCATGAGAACTTTCATATTCCCTAACAGACCCCTGGGCTGAGGGGCTTAAGAAACCATCCAGTCCAACCTGCTCCCTCCCAGGCCTGGAAGGAGCAGGGTGGGGAGTAGGGGCTGATGTGGGGCTGCTTTTCCTTCCAGAAGCAGGTGAATGTGACCTATGAGAAGATGTCACGTGCCTTGTGCCCCCTACCATAATCTGAACATCATTAAGAAGGAACCCAGGCAGAAACTCCTGTTCAGGTGAGTGGCCTAGGGGCCAAGATGCCAGGCGGAGTGGAGCTGGGGTGGGGTGGCCTGGAAGCCCTCTGCAGCTGGGGCACGGGCTGATTTGCAGCTGGGGCCTGAATTCCAGGTTTCTGAAGACACCCAGGAAGATCAATCAGGAAAAGGGCAACAGCAGGGAGCTTCTGGAGAGCCAGGAGCAGGACAGGGTGGACTTCAAGGAGGAGATGCTGGAAGTCTCTCTGTGAAGGACATGTGGACTCCAGACACCGGGCACCAACAGGTCAGAGACTGAGTCTCCCACGAAGGCAGCTAGCTGTTCCTCCCTCCTCCCAGGGCAGCAGGGAACCCCAGCTGGGTTTTGCACTCTCGGATCAGAGCTGGTGTCTCAGACCTCAAAGCTGCCTGGGGATCTGGAACAGCTGAGAACCGGCAGGCCTCACCTCCAGGACACTGTGGGGGCATTCTTTGGGTAGGGCAGTGCTGGTTGCTAAGTGGGAGCACAGGGAGTGAAGTTTCTCCCTACCCTGCCCCTTAGTACCTGCCCAGCTCAGGAGAGGAAGCCAGTCGCTGAGAGAACATCCAGCCCAATTCCTTCAATTTATGGAAGAAGGAAGCAGAAGTCCCTCACTGAGCCTCAGTTTTCCTCATCTGCAAAATGGGCATGCTCATGAAAACCACCCTCAGGGGGCTGGTGCATGAAATGGAAAAAAGAATTACTGCTTTGTCAACCTTAGTAATGATAACAATGATGATGCCTGACAGTTAAGTGCTTACCATGTGCCAGGCCTTGTGCCAAGGGTTCTACCTATATTTTATCTCATTCAATTCACATACCAACCACCGGAGGTTTAAAGATGGGGAAATGGAGGCAGAGGCTTGCCGAGCTGGGATGCTTCCCTCGAACCCAGTGCTGTGACCTGTTTTCTTTTAGTGCCTCTGAATGTAATGGGCACTTCTCAAGCAGAGGCCATAGCCCTACCTCTCTGCCCTCAGCATCTTCATAAACAGTTTATTTCACCTGGCCCAACTCCCTTGTCCTCAGTTTTCAGTCCTTGGCGACTCTGATCATGACCCAGTAAAGATCGCCCACGCCGCCCACATCCTGGCTTCCTATGCTCCTATACCCGTATCTGCCAATTGACCTTGGGCAAGTTATTCTATCTCTTTGGAGCCTCATGTTTCTCATCTGCAAAATGGGGATGCTATTCCTAACCCGACCTCACAGGATTCCCAGAAAACTTGAATAAGACCGTAGTTGTGAAGTACGTGACTGCCGTATAAGGAGTTAAGAAAACTCTGCAAACCCAAAGCTGCTCTAAAGCATGAAAATGCCTCTGCTATTGGTTCAGCTTCTCCTCGATGCTCCCCAGCCCCCCAGGTACCTCCTGATGGGGTCAGAGCCTCTGCCCTTGCAACCCCGGGGAAGCTGGCGGAGAAAGGGAAGGGAGTGTTTTCAGTTCATTGAAAACAGAACTTCCTGGATTCACATCTTCTTTTCTGGAAGGAGGAAACCACCTTTGCCTCTTGCCTCCAGTGGGTCAGGAAAACACCCCCACCGGCCACCCCCATCTGGCTGGGCCTGATCTGGCCTTGGGTCACTGTAGCCGAGAAGCTGATTTGGGACTCAAAGCTGTGACTGCTCATAAGCAGGGAAAATCCTGGCTTAGTCCCGTCTTGGGCCCTGGACAATTCCACACTAGAAGGGGCCAGGCAGGGGCCTTGGCCAAAAGGTTTAGCAGGAAAATCCTAGGCCCCTTTAGTCTTCCTGAGACTGTTCCATCTCCTTGACTTTGCTCCAGGATGAACCCATGCCCCATAGCGTTTCTCATCATCCCCAGCCCAGAACTACATAAGTGGACTGGGAGGGACCATCGAAATCAACTTGTCCAGCCTCTCCTCTTACAGACAAGGCAGCTGAGGCCAGAGAGGGGGAGTGACATGGCCAAGGACATACAGCCCAGCTCAGCGTGCTGCCTCCTCACGGTGCCTCATTTCTAATTGTCTCGCATCTCATGGGTCCAAGACGTAGAGGTTTAAATGAGAGGATGGAGTCATAAGTCACTTCTTCCAGTTATGATGTTGGCATCTGCCTGCTGTTGTGTTAATGGTTGTCAACAGCTGCATATCCCAAAGACTATGTCTTTACGGCGGCGGGGGGAGGGGGAGTGTTAAATCTCACCCAACGCTGGGACCGTTGGGGCCCGGAGTGAGAAGTGGGCTTGAGCAGAGCCCACCACCCCAGACCCCAGATCCCTGGACTCTCCACTCAGCTCTGGACTGAGCTGCACCCCGTTTCTCCAGGAACTTTAGGCCCTGGTCTGGGATGGATGCCTGGGTGCCAGGAATAAAGGGATTCATTCAGCCTTTCCTTCCATGAACATTAATTGAGCACCTCCTGTGTACCTGGCACGAAAGGAAGCTCTGGGTTTATATCAATTTTTTACACAATTAAATTCCTGAAAAGCGGTGGGTCACTGAAAACAACATATATCAAGATGGATTTCCTCACAAATCATCTTAACGAGCAGGAAATAGAGTCCCATGGTTTGAAAAAGTAGCCAGCCACGTCCTTTTTTGCCAGATTACATTAATGTCAACAGGAAATAAAGAATTTATGGAAAAAAAGTGAGTGTATTAAGAAGTTCATGATACAAGTCACTGTCTCCATCCAGTCGAGCCATTTACAGCACTAACCCAGGAGCATGGGCTCCATCACGTCCACCTTCTCCTTATGTGGATTCTTTTTTTTTTTTTAAAGATTTTTTTTGATGTGGACCATTTTTAAAGTCTTTATTGAATTTGTTACAATACTGCTTCTGTTTTATGTTTTGGGTTTTTGGCCACGAGGCACGTGGGATCTTAGCTCCCCAACCAGGGATCAAACCCGCACCCCCTGCATTGGAAGGCAAAGTCTTAACCACTGGACCACCAGGGAAGTCCCTCCTTATGTGGATTCTTGCCAACAAAGTCTTTTTCTCTTGAAAGAAAGCTCCAGATCTAGCACTTCCCCCCAGCTTTACTGAGACATGATTGACATATAATGTTGTGCAAGTTTAAGGTGTACAATGTCCAGCACTTTCTCCCATCCTAGTGGCCCTGCCACGTCTCAAGGCTCTTACTGCAGGAAGCCTGGGCTGATGCTGGTGACCCAACGTCTTTCTCATGCAGGATCCTAGTTGTGACAGCCTTTCTTGGCTTCTTCCTCTGGTTCCTCCCTATGGTGTTAATCTACATTTTCTAGTCAAGTGTTCTCTCAAGTTTTATAGAGACACACAGAAAACACACACACTTACACAGCGAGGTCCTGATGCCTCCAAGCCATCCGGGGTCTGGCGGTGAACGTGAAGGTGGCCCAGGCTCAGGAGGAGCCCTGTGCAATGCTGGTGTCAGGTCCCCTCGGTCCCCTCCTCCACGCTGGCTTGACCACTCAGTTTGATGACCTCTGAACTAAGCCACTCCTGGGACAGCCCCAAGATTTGGGTGGGGAGTTTTGAAGTGGGTTGTCCTGAAATCAGAATGTGCGTGCTTAAAAAATATTTTTAGTTTTTAAAATTTTATCTATTTATTTAGGCTGCACCACTCAGCATGCGGGATCTTAGTTCCCTGACCAGGGATCGAACCTCTGCCCCCTGCAGTGGAAGCTTGGAGTCCTAATCACATGACTGCTGGGGAAGTCCTCAAAATATGTTAATCGTGATCTTAATTTTTTAAATTCCCTAATGCTTGTAAATTAACTGCTCCTATGGGGAGGGCTGGGGGTGGTATACAAAGGAGAGTTGGGCCCTGCCCTTGGGAAGTTCACACATCAGTGGGGGAAGCAGAAGTAGCTGATGAGCGGACTTTGTTGCAGTCCCCAGGGGAAGGTCACTGAGAGGTGAATGTGGAGAAAGTAGTGGCTCTGGTGAATTCTGCTTGGGGGGCAGGGGCAGGGAGAGTGTCCTAAGGAGATCACACAGGCTTCTGCTCTGTTTTTCTCCTTCCCTTTTGGAGGGGTGAAGTCTGGAGGTGCAGTGTGGAGGAGGGCCTTCTGATCATGAGGGGTCAGGGAGAATGTGGCGTGCAGGGCAAATGGGAGCAGGGCAGACTGCAGAGGCCCATCCCTGCAGGAGGGCAGAGGGGGTCCCTGAAGTTCATGCTGGGGTCAGCCTGGCTCACTCAGACAGGGAAGCAGACCAGGATTGGGGCTGAGACCCTGAGAGGGTGAGGAGAGAGCCTTTAGGAAGAGGGAGGGGGCCGTCCTGTGTCTGATCCATGAGGAATGCAGGGGGAAACTCCCAACAGCACCACCTGAGCATAACCCTGCGGCAGCTCATGCTATGAGGATATAAAGCATTGCTTGAAGCCCGTCCACAGGGAGAATTCAGTTGTTCACCCAACAGACTTTACTGGGAAGCGCAGTCCCAGGCCCTGTGCTGGCCCTGTGCACCATGTCACAGGAGCCCGACTGGCCTCTGACACCCATATCTAGGCTTGGGATGGACAGTTGATTAAAATTGTGCTCTTTTCTCAGGAATGAAGTGAAACTGGAAGGAGAAATGGTGAGAGGAGCAGCTGGCCTGGGATGGGGGCACGTTCCCCGCAGGGGCAGCTGAGCCCTGTGGTTCACTGCCCAGAGCAGAGTCTGAGGTGGGAGCTGGGGCCCATTTCAGGGTTTTAGGAGGGATGAGCAGAATCCAACACTCACCTCAGATGGAGCTGCACTGGCCCACTGACACTCAGATGTTTTCAGGTCTGTTCACATTAAATGAACTTCGTGTGGTAAGGCTAATGCATGGAGCTCATCATGGCTTCTACTGGCAGTTACAGAGGCCTTTGATGATAATAAATGATACAGTAAGATAATAAGTAAATAATAGTGTAACAAACATAATGAAAATATGCACCTTGGCAGACAAAATCTTTCAGAATCTGATACCCATGTAGCAAAAACATGGAGATCTTTTTGTTTTGTTTTTTTACTTCTAGGCAAAGACAATTCAAGGTCACCCCCAAATACAAAGATGAGTGGAATGAACAAATGAGCCTCCTGCTGCACCCTTCCCCCGCCCTCAGGTAGCTTCCCAGTTTGTCATCCCAGGAATCCGGAATAAAGTGTGGGAAGGACGCATTCCCTCCAAATCCAGGGATATGCCTCAGCAACTCCTGAGTCCTGTTAATAAGTCCTCCCTGTACTAGTGACCTCTCTGACGCCTGCTGGTGCCTGGCCCAGTGCAGGGCGCCCCCCTGATTTCTCACAAACCCTGTG